GCTATGCTATGCTGAGCAGCAGTACGATGCGATAGGCTAAAATATTCCTAGTTTGGGTGACTTGTCCTAGATACCAAAGTAGGCCTAGAAACCAGAGTAGGCCAAAATATATAAAAACTAGAGCATCAATGATGCAATAACCCACTTCACAATAGCAAAAAATTTGGGGGAAAAAAATTAAAATATCGCTTAGTTAGCCTTTTGGAACATACCGTATCTTTTGTATCTTCCCCCAGACACACCCGGTTCATTAAATTCCTTCAAAAATTTGATTTCATTTTAAACTGTTTCTTTTTGCTTCTTGTGTATATTAATTTTCACATTCTTTAAATAATAATAATAATTTCTTTAAATATGGTTTCATATTCTGACCATGCTTTTAACTGTTAACTATACTTTAAAGATACTGTCCCTTGAAAATGACCAAAATCATAAAAAAACAACTTTTAAATTAACTTTAATTATTAACAAATTATTAACTTGAGCATAGAAATTATTCAATTAAAAAAAATGTGTTCCCTGATTTTTTAACTGGATAATTATAATAAAGATAATAAAGCACTTCCAGTGACTGGAAGTGTTTCTATCAAAAATGATGTTTATGATTTTTTTTTTTCAGATTGCTTCTTCTGGGTTCTAAACACGATGAAGTTTGTCCGTTTAATAATTATAGAGATTTTATTATACATTAAAGTACATAAGCCAGCTCTACCATAATGGAAATTGATACCGAAATCAAATTTTTATTCTTTCATCATACAGTAATTTATAATACGGTTCACTGATTTCCACAAGTTTTCTGATGTCTGCTGGTAGCATTGTAACTTCTTGAGTAATACTGTAATTGGTCTTTCTTTTGGAATTTCCAAATCCATTGCTATTGAAAGCGTTCTTATACCAACCCTGCCACCACGTAACATATTTTAAAAAGGTGCTACATTGCCAATCCACATTCCATATACTACACGGTTCCCATGACAACATCGATGCTCGAAATGGTATGCCAGTTGATTGACAATAAATCTTCATCATTACTTCAGGATCTTGCAAGAAGTCATCAACATCAATAACGAGGGTAGGTTTCTTGAGATCATCTGTGATGTGCATATAAAGCTTCCACAAGTCCACGAAATATAATTCAAGTGTCGGTTGATACCTTTGCATTTCATCACCAAAGAAAAGGCTCTAAATCTTATACTGGTTACGTAGTGACATGAATACCTTTGTTGGATTCCGGATTAAAAAATGTGAATATAACCGTCCGGAATCTTTTCAAACTTCCCTTGCAATGCGTAAGCAAAATCATTTGCAAAAAGTACCCTCTTTCCTGGCATTTCCTGTTGAAGTAAGGCTTTCACATAGTCATACGTATGGTAGGGAGCAAAGATAAATAGGTTCGTTTGATTCGATGATTGTTAGGTCCATAGATATATGCGGCTTTAAGGTTCTCGTGAAAAACCACAGAATCATCGAGTGTATTAATCGAGCGTGTAAACGCAGTAGCCATGCATCGAGGTGCTGTCCAGAGAAAAACGCGTGTTTGGGTTGATTCAGTAGCCATGATAAAGTATGCCAACAGTAAGCAACAGTATCATTTCAAACACAATGACATGACGACGACGTGTACCTAAAAATGTGACCCGGGTGGAGTTTCATGCAAATATTTCCTACTAAAAATAAATCGTGCCTGGGTCCAATATCGATCCGCCTGTATAAACATTACCTGCCAAATATAGTCCGCATACGCCAAAATTAGTCAGGCATATTATTAGTAATGTATAACTCGTATGTATAGTATTCAATATATTATACATGTATTTTGAAACGTTTTATTCATGCTTATTAGTGCTAAAGCAACCAATGGCACCTTGAATACTGCGTTTTTGTATGGGGACGTACAAATCAATTACAAAGTAAAACGCTCTGCAAAGCCGTAAGATTAAAGACACAGTGTCTACAAATTTCCTCAAAAATGACATTTTTTTTTGAAAAATATGCATATACATTACTTTAGTTTTCATAAACCAGTCATTTTTTCGTCATAAATATGTTTCACGATTGATGATAAAAAAAAGAGAAATAATGTAGTACCTGCGAAGCGACTGTATCAGCTACGATGTGCTTCGACGATAGGCCTAGCTTAGATCGAATCCGTTTAAAAACTACTGAACATGTACGGTAGTCCAGCAGCTAAATTATGGTTCACGTGTACATATTCTGCGATTTATATAGACCTGTTTTCTCATGCTCGCTGTAATGAAACATTTTGGCCATGTAGCAATCGAAAAATTGGGTCCCCGGGACCAAAATGGCCGTTTTTATGCAAAAGTATATATTTTTGGGAAAAAATACAATCCTTCTGTATTTCTGTTAATATTGGTGATAGAGAGTTCATTTTGGTGCCAAAATGTTCGAAACGATTATGTTTTTATTTGCTGTAATGAAACATTTTTCCCAGAAAGTACACAATTTTACCAAAACCGGCTTTTTTTAAAGTTAAATTAATTATTTTTTCATGCACAAACGTTTAGAGTTTTTAAAAAATATTTTTTTTGCGATTTATTATTGTCATTTTAGCTATCTCTTGCCACCTTTGAATAAGTGGAAACAATCGATGGCTTGAAAAAATAGGAAATTATATTAAAAAAAAAAAAAAAAAAAAAAAAAAAAAATTGGTAATTTCTTTCTTGGTACTTTCTGGGAAAATTTTTTTCATTACAGCGAATAGAAACATGATCTTTCCGAACATTTTGGCACCAGAAATACAGAGGGTTTGTATTTTTGCCAAAAATGTATATTTTTGCATAAAAGCAGCCATTTTGGACCCGGGGACCAAATTTTACGATTGCATGGCCAAAATGAATGACCAAAGGTATCAGGACCATGAAAAACAGGTCTATATAAATCACAGAGTACAGTATGTACACATAAACCATATTTAGCTGCTGGACTAATAGGGCGGCTGGCTGGGCGGGTAGTCGCTCCATACCTTTGGAGTACGGTTTCAAGTTCTGGACAATAATTTCAATGTTGTTAGTATTGATCATGCTCTTCTATAATTGTAAATATATTTATGTGGTATTTGTGGTATACTAGCCTCGATAATAACTAGCCTTTTTTATGCAAGTATACCCCATGTGTGTGTGGGTGGGTGTGGGTGTTAGGGGGAGTGGGTGTGACAAAGACTAGTAATATAGTAGGGCTAGGCCTCAGCTTACTAGTAGCCCACTAGAACCTAAAAAATCAAGCCAAGCGTCCACTAATAGAAAAATTAGTGGACGCTGATGAATAGGCAAATAACATTGGAAGTTACAGTGATGACGTCACGATTGATTTATAATTAGCAATTAGTAGAGCTCCGAATAGTACACTACCTGTTACCTGTTGGTGTCTTCTGCTCGGAGCAGGTTGGCTACCATGGACCTCCAATTTTCTCTCTGCTGAGCCCGCCTTACACATTCGTTGTACCTCAATGTACACCACTCCTTGATATTGTGTACCCATTCCAACCTTGGTTTGCCTCTACCACGCTTGCCATTCAGTTTTCCTTCAAGTAGCTCTCTTTGTAGACCGTCCTTCCTTATTACGTGTCCAAAATATTCTAGTTTTATACGTTTAATTGATCTGACTAGCAGTCTTTCTGTTTTCATTTTCTTGAGCATTTCTTTATTCGTTATCTTGTCTCTCCATGATGTTTTTAAAATTCGTCTGTAGACCCACATTTCAAATCATTCCAGTTTCTTCACTGCAGATTTTGAAACTGACCATGTTTCAACGCCGTAAAGAAGAGTCGACCAGACATAGCAACGTACCAGTCTTTGGCAACCTTTTATATTTCTAGAGGTAAATATCTTTGACATATTCTCAAAGACTCCTCTGGCGATTTCAATTCTCCTCTTGATCTCGGTTTCACATTTTCCATCACTGGTAATCATGTGGCCAAGGTAAACCACGTTTGAAACCTGCTGCAATACAGTGCCATTTAGGGAGATGTTGGCAACTGGGATCACTTCGTTCTTGCTGATTACTGTTACCTTAGTTGTTGAAACGTTGATATTCATCCCATATCTTTCACCTTCTGTATTAACAGCAGTTAATAGATCCTGGAGGTCACTTTCATTTTCTGCTAAGAGAGCTGTGTCATCTGCATATCTTAAGTTGTTTATATTGATGCCACCGACAACAATTCCCTTGAAATCTTCTACAGCTCTTTTTGAAGAAACTAGGAGATAGCACGCAACCTTGCCTTACTCCTCTTTTGATGTCAAATTGATGTTAACAGCTTGCAAATAAGTTAGAGATCCTTGTCATCTATTCCAATATCGGATAGTATTGTGATCAATTCCTGATGATTAAGGTTTAGCTTTCTTTGCAATAGGGATGAAGGTGGATTTCAGCATGTCTGTGGGTATGTGACTGCTGGTGTAGATAAGATTGCACAATTCAGTCAGACTACACTATAGGAAAATCATTGTACGAAGGTTAGATTTAATGCTTGAAAAAAATTTTGAATGCATTAAATCTAACCTAAGTATAATAATTTTACGTTTAGTGTACGATGCATGCTCTACTAATTGCTTTATAAGTCAATCGCCGTCTTTTAATTTTAGTTTTTTATAACCAACTATTGTAGCAGCTATCGGTTGCTATAGTGATATGATCAGTATACGTGTGCGTATTTACATTTAGCTGTGCGTATGCTGATTTTTGATCATGCAGTACGCGTTTAACTCATCTAACATCAGAGCAGTACTGTCAGTACGGATACAATGAATAGGCCTAACTCTTGTGTTAGAAAGAACTTGTTTGTAATGCTTTATTGATAGACTTTCGTCAAAGAAATAAACATTTCAGCATTCGAGAGGGAATACAGTGACTGACGTCCTTTTTGGTCGGTGCATGCAGACAGGTAAAATCGTGCGATGATTTCATAACTAGGCCAGGCTACGGCCTATGCCTAGTAATAGTAGAAAGAGGCCCGGGCGCGAATTTTTTTTCGTGAAGAGCCAAGCATAGGGAAACATAGCGCTCTGATTGGCTAATGATAAGATGAAATCATCGCACAAGCTGGCACAAAAGTCAACCAACTCGCACTCGAATACGGAAACGGTGCGAGTGAGAGTGATCTCAAGAAAGTATAGGTTTGATTCACCGATTGCAGACTATGGTTTTCTCAGAGTAAGTTTTCACTATTATTACAGCATATGTAACCCACAACGATCAAGGTAAAATAGTAAGGAGGGATGCATCTCATGAATCTATCTGTGTAGGCCCAGTCTAGGCAAGGCCTACCCTTGGCGTAGTTGGAAGATGGACCTACACTCCTATCCCATATCATCAATCATGATGTAAGAAATATCAATGCAGCACTTAGACACTAGGCCTAGTTTGCATGACAAGTTCGCCTTCCTTTTTTCTAAAGAAGTACCTAGCAGAGCAACCTGTTTAAGGCACAAATAGTCTATTTTTCCTTTATTTCTACACCTCAATACTGTAATATAATAATTAATAATAAATAACTACCCTACTACCAAACTTTACTACTACTAGGGCTTAGACCCTGGCCTATTGTCCACAGCTCTCCAACACTTTATATTATTATTGTTATACTTGACTAACAGCAAACTTGGCAATGTGAGATGCCCCCTTTCTTTATTATCCAGTTGCTTAAATTATTGGTTATAATTTTTTTTTTTTACCATTTTAATTTTTCTATTTTGTACTTTATATGATGTTACAACATTTTAACTGTCTAGTCTTCTATTATAGGCCCCTATATATCCCTTTTTAATGAATAAATGTAACACAAGTAACATGCAATTCGGTCTTTAAACACCTTATTGTTTGAGATGTGATGTTTGAATAAATATATTAATATTTTAAATATCAACTAACCAACAAATAAGTAGCAACCCAGGTTTTTTTGATAACAAAATTCCTCAAACTGCTGATGTTGTTATGTCATGACATAATAAATGGATGCACAGTACAGCACAATTAAATACTTGAAGCTGGTGTTTTTTTAGGTCCATGAAATGACACCACAGAGTGGGAATTTGGCCTTTTGGGATGCTTCTGGATGGAACGTTGACTGGTAGACATTGTTAATAGCAGAATGCATAGAACCATCTCATCACTACCTTCAACACAGCCAATTCCAGATGAATGCCTAACCAAAATACATGAGCAAATGTACAAAGTAAAAAGCCAGATGTTGTCTATAATGTCAAAATAAGTTTAGAACATTTAGGAAAGACACAGTTGGGTAATGGAAGGTGCAAAGAGAACATTGTACTGAAAATGTTCCACTGAGTACTTCTTGAAAGCAAAAAGAAGAAAGGTCTCCCTTAACCTAGTG